CAATACCGTTAGGTAGTTTCGCCATTTAGTGTTTGGTAGTATTTACGCTTACATGTGGAAGATGATAAGAGGGGAATGTATCCACGCATCAGGAGGAGGATAGACAGAGGGGAGCACACAGAAACTATATAAATGGTGTTGCGCCTCTATGCACAGGTCTAGAATATCTGGTTATCAGAGCTAGTTACCCCTTTGTCTCTATTTCTCTTTTTCTCTCTAAGTGTGCTAACTTGACCGTCGGAGGGATTTTCTGGCTGCACACCGCTAAGTAGCTCACCATCTTTGTGTTCTCAGATCACTTGAAAAGAAGCGAAGCTTGGACACAAGGAGTACAGAAAGTGACAAATATTTGCTCTTCGTACAAAAATACAAATGAAATTTAAATTATCTTGCACATACTTATGTATCAATTGTGATTTTTTTGAAACTCCTCGAAAAGAAGTAAGCATTGACTCATAGAACATGTACGGTATGATTCGATTGGAATGCCATTCAAACACAAGACTTTTCTTTTGGGGTCGTGTGAATGTTTAATTAAGGGTCAAGCTAATAATCTGTCCAAACTTGATATTTTTCTACAAAAAAATCCTAAACCCAAGTCCAATCTGAGTTCAATTTATAGAGTTATAGAATTTTGAGTTGAGTTGTGTTGTTTTTAAACAAAGTTGGTTGGGTGGAACAAATTGGGTCTTGAATGATGAATTTTTTTTGTCTCCAAAGAGCTAATTTCGTCACTATAGATATTTGTGAAAAAATATTTTCCTCACCAGTTTCGTCATTGAATGTTTGTCACTAAAAAGCACCATGAGGAAAAATAATTTCGTCACCAGTGAAATTGCTTTAGCGACGAAATTTTTTGTCACCAACAAAATAACATTTTGTCGCCAAAAATCCTCATCTTCATCACCAAATAGTTATTCAGTACCATATTTATAACTTTAATTGACGAATAAATTTGTTACACATGTTGATCATTGATGAGGAAATAATTTCGTCACAGTAAGATGTAAAGTTGACGAAATTTTTTGTCTCCAAAAGTCATACATGGGTGACGAAATAAATTTCGTGACAAAATATGTATACGTGACGAAATTTTTAGTCACCAAACAACAAAATCAACGAAAACATTCATAAATAAACTGCGAAAATTTTGTCACAAAAAATATTTATTAGCAACGAATTATCAATTTGTCAACAAGAACCAGAAAGAATCACAGGACGTGTTTGATACAAACTAATTAGCTCATGGTTTTTACAGGAGTTACCATTTTCATTTAAATCTAAATAATTTTTCTGTTTTATTTTTAACCTCAAAGAGGTAAAAAGGTCAAAACACATACATGCAAGCAAACATAAAAACAAAAACAAACACACATGAATAGATATTGAAATAAAAACACAATTAGACCTTCAAACAGTTTGGGTTAATTACATTTTATATGGTTTTGTCCAAATACACTTTACCTCCTTCATGTTTAAAAATATACACATAACCCTCTTGAAATTTGGAATGAAGTGCAAAAATTGCAAATTTTGGTTAAGTTAATTGTGCATGTACAATACACACTAAATTGAGCGTGTGTGAATCTAAGAAATATATATAATGACACTTTTTGCCCCTTTGTTAATTTGTCTTTTTCTATTCTTTTCTTCTTCATTCCCTCTCCCTCCTCATTCTTTCTATAGCAGCAGACCCACTCTCCATTTCCCTTCTTCTCACTTCCTACTACACCTCACATGTCACCACCAACCAATAGCCTCATGGGCTACCATGGCTATCAACCACCTCTAAAACAAAACCCAGCAACCATTTCCCCAAACACATAGGCTGTGTAGGTGTTATATGAGAGGAGGGAGATGAATGATGTAGGACAGACCATGGGACAAGAAAGGGAAGAAGAAGTGAAAGAAAACAAAAGAAAAGAGTCACATCCAACACTCTATTGTTGACCTTGAACTATGTTTTCTGAAGAATTAAACAAAAATCAAGTTGGGTTTTCTTTAGTCAGAGTTTGCAAGTGTAATAACCCTCACCACTGCTTACCGATAAACACTGATTACCGTTAAACTGAACTGATCATGCTTACCGATAAACACTGATTACCGTTAAACCGAACTGATCATGACTGATAACTGAACTGATTAAAGTACTGAACTGATCATGACTGATAACTGAACTGATTAAAGTACCGAACTGACTGACTGAAAACTGGAACTGAATTGACTGAGTGTGTACGTTTGAATTGCATTCTATCTGTTGATTGTTTATTTGATCTGTTCGTGTTTTAGTGTTTAAACTGCTAATTGAAGGCCTTATCGGCCGCCGAATCCGGAATTGATTGATGTTTTATGATCCTCATAATTAATGTGATTTTATGGCATATTTATCTGAAAACTGATTAGGTATGATTAAAATAGTTTAAAATAAGCTAATTAAAGAGTTTGGCTTAATTGCCATATTGTCATCCTAGTGGGTCCCTTACTTAATGCTTTGAGGGCTCATTCTTATGCATTACAAACATTTGCTCAGCCATTTCTCTTGAGTGTATAGCCGACTAGAGAGAGGGAGATTGGGGAGTGAGAGTGTCTTCATCTCTTTTGCTTGATCTTGCTTGGATTGAAGTATAGATTGCATATTTGAGTTCCTAGTCTTCTAATTCAAGACTTAGGTAAGGATTTCATCTTCTCATTCTTGTGTTTGAACTAATTCTTGCATGGTCCATGCTAAATTGTAGAGCTAAGTCATGTTTTAGTTCATACATGTTGTCATAGAGCATAATTCATGCATGCATGTTTGAATTGTTGAGTTGTGAGTTGATTTCATGGTAAAATGGTACATGCATGTCCATAACTTTGTAATGGTCCATGTTTTCAACTTGTTTTTGGATCAATTGGCTCCGTAGAGCATCAAATTGGAGCTTCAAAATGATTTAAATTCATGCATGTTTGCATGTTCATATTGTTCTTGATATTGGTTGGTTTCAATTAAACACCCTTGGCCTTTGATTTCTCAAAATTGAGCTTTGAACCATGTTATTCTATATGTTTATAAAGGTTTTCCAGAAAAATGGGCCCTGAACCATGTTATTCTATATGTTTATAAAGGTTTTCCAGAAAAATGGGCCCAAGAGGATTGGTTTTGATGCATTTGAACCTGGTTTTGGCATGGAGGTGCAATCTGGAATTCCCAGATTTTGCACTTCCGCTCGAGCGGGGAAAGTGGCGCTCGAGCGTGGAATCCGAGCATCCAGTATTTTTGCGCACTGTTTTACAGTCCGCTCGAGCGGAGGATTGGGCGCTCGAGCAGAGGCATGTGTCTCACGATCGAGCGGGCGTCGAGCGCCCGTCGAGAGGAGATTTCACCCATCCAGTACTTTTACAGTACGCTCGAATGGGAGAGTTGACGCTCGAGCGTGTACCTTTGTTGCATGTCCGCTCGAGCGGGGAAACCTGCGCTCGAGCGGGACTCTGTTTTTCTGAAACTTCTGAAACTGCTTTTTGAGTACATCTTTGCATCCTCATCCCATCCTAGGCATTCTTAGGCCTAATTTAAGGCATCTCATTGAGGATATAGATGTAGAACACACCGAGGCATTAGGGATTAAGTTATTATCTTTCCCAACTGTGTAGCTTAGTGTGTTCAATCTGTTAACTGTGTAGGGTTGGCGACTGGGGAGACACGCTCTAGCATACTGTAGCCCAAACTCTGTGAGTAACGATTGTGTAAAGATATGTTCACAAATGATTATCTTCTGAACAACTGAACTGTACTGTTTTCTGAACTGATTACTGTTAACTGAATGAATGTATGTCCTATCTGAACTGTATTGTGGCATCCTTAGCACCTACTGTTTACTGTTACTGTTACAGAGATCTCTGTCGGTTCCCTTGTTGGAACCACTACTGTTACTGACTGATGGCCATCAATTACTACTCGGTCTTTTAAGACCTACTGTTTACTATACTGTTATGCTAATGGATGTACCACATATGACTGTACTGACTGAACAAGTGGAATACTGTTTAAATGAACTGTTTTCATACTGTAAGGACATTCATTCTTAACCTCTTTACGCATTATGTTATTCACTGGGCTTTAGCTCACTGCTCATATATATATGTAGGTGTACAGGCACCAGACCGCGGCTAGAGGCGTCAGGGTTAATCCAGTTTTGTCAAGCCAGCCTATGTGCCTCACTGCGAGATTCCAAGCCTATTTGCCAAGGCTTAGGGGTGTTTTAGATTTCCCCCTTCTGTACTGTCTTACTGTTCTGTATAGACTGAATGTTTACTGTACTGTTATACAGGGATTGAGTCCCTAGTCTGAATGATTGTAAATATTGTGCATACTGTTCTGTGCTGTTTACGTATAAATGTATGATAAGTCCTTTTGCATACAGACTATCACAGCTCATTGGGCATTATTTCTTTACTGTATTGGCTTCCGCCAGGCCTTGTACTCTGTTTTACTGTACTATTGTTCTGCAGGCCTTCGGTAATCTCGGATTACTGGCCGGTTACGATGCTAAACCCATAGGGCCGGGTTTGGGTCGTGACAGCAAGTCAACAGTTAACATTCAAAACCTGATATTACACAGATTAGCTTGTTAGTGATATTGCAAAGTCTGCAAAACAGTTGACATTCAGACCGTGGGACAAGAAAGGGAAGAAGAAGTGGAATGATGTTATAGGCTCAAACATTAGCTTGTTACTGCTAATTCCAACTAAATCTACAGCATTTGACATGACTACAACTATAAGTGGATATGACAGGTTGGTAACTTTCTTAAACTGTTATGCTTTAACTAGTGTATACTAACCAACATTAGAAAAACGAAAAGATAAAACAAGCGAGACTTACCAAAAAGGAGCATGTTTGACCCACATGCTTCGTCTTCAATTATTTTCTATTGTCAATGTTAGCTATTGATTGTTTCTACAAAGAGCAAGTTCCAATAGAAATATATATATATATATATATATATATGTGTGTATATTAGGAAGACACAAGGTAATTGTCAACAATAAATAAACATAAGAAAAGTTTATCAGCCAATTGCTATCATTCCACTTCATGTCAATCAAGTTTTTCCATTTCTCGAGGTCACATTCAGGCGGTGGGTGGCTTCTAGCATACTCCTCTACCTTAGCACTCTTAAGGTTCAGGTGTAGAAGAATAAGTTACCACAGGCTTCAGTAGATCTTCAAGTATTTCACGTGCTTGCATTAAATGAGCATCAACTATCTCTACTGGCAATTCTGCCTCAACAAATATGTAGAGAGGTTCATTCAGATGCTCATACCCAGGTTTCCCCTGCATCATCTCTTCCTTCAAGTCATAATTAACAAACAAAACTAATTACATTTTCAGAACAAGGAAACATAAGTAAACACAAATGCACAAAATGATTCGAAACTTAATAATAAACTGGGTTCTTGATTGAGTTAACCAATGTACACCGAGTGAGGTATGTATCAGTAGAAAGTGGAATAGCAAGAATTCAATGTACATATCTGCCATCAATATTACTATACAATTTGATTTCAGCTGCTGAAATTGGCTACTATATAAAAAATCAAAATTCCTAAAAATAAAACTGCTAGAGCGTCTCACTGTTCTCTCGATTAAAGACCCATGGGGAAGAAATTGTAAAAAGTAATTCAGAGTAAAATAGAACATTTAGAGAGAGAGAAAAATGCAACACCCATCAATATGAATAGACAAACCATGTTAACTTCATGATCAGACAAGGCATTAAGAACTATAATGTAATGGTTAATTGCAGCATCTAATGAATGTTCACAGTTTCTACAAGTAAATTGACAGCATGTATAGCTGTTGTGATCCCAAAAAAAAAAATTCTTTACTTTTTGGTTGAGGTCAGAAGAAATTGGAAAATCTGATCAATATTGTAGACTATTATACAAACAAAACTCTTTGGAAATGATATCAGGAAATGAATACCACTAAAAAGAAATAAATAATTGAATTGAAAATGAGATGAAGCTGACATAAATTAAGAATATGAGCATAGCCCATGTTACACCTATAGCTTTCGTTTAGAAAGAGAGATTAAAAGTGTGGCATTGCTCTATTCAGTATTGAGAATATTATGGTTTCAGCATTTCATGTATTAACACATCAAACCATAAAACACTTCAGAAAGTATCCAAGAAACACAAGCATTCTGGTTGAAAAGACAATCAAAATTACCTGAACAGGATCCTTGATGCTACCACGTCCTTTGATTAGAACACGACACTCAATACTTGCCTTTACTCTCTTGAGTGAGTTCCCTCTAGGACCAAAGAGGTGGCCAACAAAATTGAACTGCAACAGCAAGTGGGTAATAGGAAGTTAAACATGAAATGCAGTAAACTACACCATGAAAAAGATGCAATGGAATAAAATAATAACTCGTACATTAGGATATTGATAAACTGGGATATCCACACTCATTGTCCTCTTCACTATAAAACCAGATGAGCTGCCTTGGGAACCAAGCCAGTATTATGTAGATAAGGGCTGCAACAAACTTGACATCTGTGTAATAAAAACACAGCCAAAGTTAAAAGAATGTAAAAGATAGATACAGCTATAATACTGTTTTGTAAAGCAAGATCTACCAAACTTCCAAAAAACTATCACAAAGCAATTGAAACTAAGATAACCCACAGAAATAAATAGCGGACCTCAACATATATATGAATGGAACACCAAAAACATATGTTCACGTTTGAGCACAAATCATAGAAGAGCTTGAACATATTCCTATAAATCTGAAAACAGACTCTAGAGTATTGAAACCAAGATGTATACATCATTTTGCAAATACTACCAGGTCTCATGAGTTTTGTTTTATTTTGTTTTGTTTTTTGTTTTTTTGTTTTTTTGTTTTGTTAATTCTTTCTTTGCATTCAGATGATAGCATATTTAACTACTGTATCAGTAACATAATAAATTAGTCGCTTCTTAGAACCCAAAACCAATGAATTAGTCTTTGCCAATAAGTCTCCCCGTGTAATGTACACCACTAAATACCATGTTAATTGAGAAGTCAGCAGTAAGAACAAAAGTCGTCCAACTGTCTCAGCTCTTATAGGTAAATGTCCTTTCCAACATCGTGTTAACTATCTAGTTATGCTGGATTAGGACACTTCATTAAATCTATGTGTTATGCTTAATGATGTTAGCCTCAAACTAACCGTCATCACAGACACGGAATTTCAGTACAAGCACTCAAATAGACTAATGAAGTTAGAATGAAATGTTTAAAAAATGAGTCAGGAATGCTTCTGAAAAATAGTAAAATTAGATGGAACAAACAGTTAAGTTAATAGTTAGTATCCGTACTTCTGATTGAAACGGTGATGCCCATCGGTTCACATTGGCTCCTTCACTTGAAAATATTCCTCCTGAAGCCAAGGGCTAGCATGTTCAAGCTAACTTTGATCTAAAACTGGCGCATTCTCCAACAGTGTGCACGCAATATTTCTCCTCCAAAAATGTCAATTTTCAAGAATAAAATGTACCAGTTAGCATTTTTTAACAAATTAGTCAGCAGTCACCACAAAATCGACAGACTACACTGATTGTTTACTGGGTTAGTCATAATCAATGCTTCCCCCTATGTGACAAACTCAAATCTTTCAAAAAGAATGTACCCTGGTAGAAAATGAGAAAAGAACATGTAGTTAAGCTCTATTCTATTATAAGTGAATGGTCAAAACTCATTCACAAAAGATTTGACAAACTTAACATAATTATTGATATGTGGAGAAGGGTGCATAAGAAAATACATCTCCAATAAATCAGCTGCTTATTCATGACATATCACAATCTTAAACATCTTAGAACAAAGTTTGACGTTAAATAAAATATTATTCATGACATATCACTATTCAAATATAAAATGAAGGAGCAAAAGGTTTCAACAGCAAAAGATGAAGATTAGGAAAAAGAACCAAAAAAGAAAAAAAAGAACAAAGAAAAGAAAAAGAATTAACTATTCAACAATACAAAGTAATTCCAATCCAAATAATACTACTTCACTTGAAGTACCTCTTTTTGCTAAGATAAAAGCATCCAGACATACAAAACTCGAAACTCACAAAACAGAAGGCCAAAGATCCAGAAATGCAAACAATTTTCTCAACCAGAAACAAGTTCCAAGTGACCACCAAAACCCCCTCAATTCTACTTTGTAACATTGTAGGAAAATCCTATCATGTAGAGAGGTTAAATAGATAATCAAGCCGCGTCAGCTAATAAACCTTTGCTAGAAATCTATTGACAATCCTTTTTTTTTTTTCCCCTTTCTATCTACAACAAATAATTAGTTAATTTCCTTGAGGGTTAACCCCCCCTTCCCTCCCCGAGTAATTATATCATCAATATGTTATTCAGAAACCTATTCAATAAGGGAAAACTGTGAAGGCAACGGAAGTCAATCAATGTTGTGAAAACAACCAAGCAAATAAGTAATTGTCTACCTGCCTACCAGGGAGAAACATTAGCAATCAAATCAATCATGTCTCCACCATTCAATCCGAAGAAATCACAACCTTTAAATGCAAAATGCAGTCTGAAGAAATCACAAGTCTCATTAGTTTTGAAAATTAGGGAAAACATTAATTCTGAAAATTAGGGAAAACAGAGATAGAAAAATAGAGAAATTGAGAGAGAGAAAGAGAGGACCCATACCTGAAAATACAAAACAAAGAAATTGAATAATAAGAGGCGCTGATGGAAAAGAACACACGGCACTAAAGGAGACGGGTGGACGGGCTCGGAGATGCGACGTCTTGGCGCCACTAAAAGAGGAGAACGGGCGACGTTGGTGGCGGCACTGAAGAAGAACATGCAGAAGGAGGACAAGGGGTGCTAAAGGACGAGAGCTAACCCTTTTTTTTTATTTATTTATTTATTTATTTATTTATTATTATTATTATTATCATTCTATTTTCTATACTTTTTCCCCAGATTAAAATCATTCAAGTTGTTCATGGAACCCTTTAAAGTAGAGAAGTTTTGGAGATGTTTAAAGTAACAAATGGAATGACTCTAATCTCATCTTAACAATAAATTCCATTTATGCAAACATGTCTGAAGACACAGTGAGGGTAGAGAATGATAAACCTAGAGACCTGAAGGGAGAGAGAGGGGTAGAGAAAGAGAAACAGAGACAACAAACTGACGTGAAACTCACAGTGGTGTTGTAGCTTGATGTCGGTGCAGGATGAACTCACGGTGTGGAGGATGAATCATCCTCACGATGGAGGATAAACTAACGGTGGTTCTCTATTACAGCTTTGTGGAAGAACTATAGATAGATTAGGGCACGAAGTTCTAATCAAGGAGTTGAAAAGTTTTTTTGGGATTGAAATTTTGATATTATTCCATTTAGGCACTAAATCAGAATTTTTTTGGCACTTTAATTTTGTGTGTTTTATGAAATTTTTTAGCCACCAAATTTGTAATTTGTTTGCAGTGAGAGAGATATGAGAGGAAAACTAATAAACACAAAAAAAAAAAAAAATTAGTAGTGTATTTTTTTTTTCATTACCACCCAATTTGTCAAGATTTTCCCTCCAAAATTAGTGACAAAATAATTTCCTCACTTAAAGGTTTCAAAATATTAAAAATTATTAGTGACGAAAATAAATTTCTCACCAAACACTCTTAAAATATTTAAAATCTAGTTTTTCAAAAAAAAAAATTGTAAAATTATTGGTGACGAAAATATATTCTTCACTAATAATTTTATAATTTGTGACAAATTTTTTTCTCACCAAAAGCCTCAAAATTTTGGCGCTATCAAAAAAATTTTAGCCACAAAGCCTTCAGTGACAAAACTTAATTTTTCCTCACTTAAAAAGAAATTGTTGACGACAATAAATTTTGTCACCTATTATTTTTATTTTTTTATTATATGTAACAAAATTTTATAATTCGTCACGGATTATTCTTATTTAGTGACGAAATTTATTTTGTTAACTACTTTTTGTCACCATAGATTACTTTTGTTGTAATTATTAATCACTTCACTAAATTTAACATTGGACATAGAGGGAGTGCTCTTTAACATCATTCATAATTTCATATATCCATTAGCAAAAATTTTGTTAAGGTCAATTGACATACAAAACTTAGTTTTTACAAAATAATAATAGATTAAGCTTGTGGTTGAGTTTTATGTCTTAAACAAATTAATGACTTCTTTGGAGGAAAATAAATGAAGAGAAATATAGAAAAAGAGAACTAAATTGTTATTAAATTGATAAAATTATGACTTGTTATAAGTTACATAAACTTAAAAAAGAATAAAAAAAATAGTAAAATAACCAATCGACAGAAAGTTATAGTAATAAGATATAGCTGGACTACTTCTAGATGCTAAGTGACTACTCCTAGATAGAAACTACTTCTAGAATTCACGTTTATATGAGTTGGGTTGTGTGTCTTACTTGTATCTCCCTTGACATATTTATAAGCTCTGCCGCATGAGAGAGAGAGAGAAAGAGAGAGGTGATCTAAACCCATAATTGCAGATTTTGTGCTTTGACCTGGTCTTGATTCTAGAACCTGACTTTCAAATGGCTATAGCAGCTAACTCTTTTAACTCTACATTTAGCATGTTATCATATCACGTCATTAACATACCTGTCATGCCGCATCAGCATGTCTGTTAACATGGATAATAATAATAGCAAATGTAGCCAACCTTATTTTTAAAAAATAGTCTATGGTCTCATTCAACAGACTATAATTGAATTTGGCCATAATTAACAAACCACAATCGATGGAAAAGTAAATTATGATGTCAACAATATCATATCGTCCATTTCTTATGCTGCTCTCAACATTACATATATTTACATGTTAGCAAACAAACGATAGGTTTTTGCATCAAGAACAATTTGTCGCACTGATGCCACTGCTCCGACCAATGATAACACTATGGAGATCGTTGCGATGAATGTGTTTCCCCAAAATATTATGCTTTTCTTGGAGGGTTTGAATGTCACATTGTAAAAAATCATAGGTAGAATGAAATCCAAAGGAATGCATCCAAATGCCCCGAATAACGCCATGATGTCACCAAAGAAAGGTAACATGGCAGCCAAAAGTGTGGCAATGACAATGGACAATGACCTAAAAATCAACCGTGGCACGACATTGCGAATGGAGAATTGATCCTTCTTTGGATCTGCAAACTTGCGCTCGATCACTACGTTTGTTGGTTGCAAGTACGTCTGTATTTTTTTTTATTGGCAAAAAAAAAAAAATTTATTAACTCAAAACTATGAAGTATATTGAGATAATAAAGATGAAGGGAAAAAAAAATCAAAGGCAGAAGGAATATCCCAACTAATATAGTTTGTATTGACCATGCACTTTAGTGGAAACAACATGCATATATATATATATATGGGAAATTTTATTATGCATATTCTATGAAAGGAATGTAACATATGCACCCCTTGCTATATTATTTTATTTTTTAGTTATGATATTATTTTAGTTTTGACTCATAAAATTTTTTATTATGCCTCATGTAGTGTATAGTTATGACTTCTCTTTTTTTTTTTAGTTATGATTTAGAAAGTATGGAGTTATGTTATTTTACTATTTAGTTATAATGTGTAAATGATACACACATTTTGAGAGGTGTGTACCATGGTCTTTGTCTATATATACATAGTGAGAGACTGTGCCGTAGCTTGTCAATTTTTGGGTGAAATTTAGTGATTTATCTTTCTAAGTAGTGACAAATTATCTTGCTAGTTTTTATATTTTGATTTTTACTTTCAATTAACTTGATTTTGATTCTGAATTTTAAATTTCATATCAAATTAATTCAATTGATAACCTCTGTTAGGATTTTGGACAAAAAAATAGGCATGTGGACAACATATATTGTGTTTTAAGAACAAGATGGTCAATTTACTAATATGTCATCTAACTTGGTGAGTTACTCATAGGTCACATGTGTCATCCATGTATGTCTTTCTTTCTTTTTCTTTTTTTTCTTTTTTTTTTTTTTTGGTCAAAAATGTTGTAAACTGTTTTTGATTTGACCAAATTAACACAAAATTCAAAGTTAATATTGATTGAGTCAATTAAACCCGCATAAACCTAAATGATACAAAAATAAATAAATAAATAAGGAGCAGAGACTATTAATGTATTTTGCCCAATAATTTAATTAAACTCACCATTAGATAGGTTTTATATATCAATAATAATTAGAGTAGTGTATTACCAGAACAACAGCTATCACTTGCAAGAGAGTGAATACATTGGTCATCAAAAGAAACCCCCTAGGCACCAAAGGCTTCCCATCAACCATAAAATTTTGAAGAATTGATCCTTTAGACTGATTTCCAAATGCCCAATAACCGGATATGGCGACGCTAAAAAATGTAGAGATCACAACAGCGTAACATACCAAAAGTCCTTTGAACATTTTCCCGGTCACTGGGGCTGCTATCGTCGCCTGCAAAATTTCATATCCACATTTGAATGCAAAATGTAAAATTCATAGGTTATTTTTTATTTTATTTTTTTAAAAAAACTTGGAAAACCTGTATTTCGGGAATAATTCCATTGCCATATGTGGTCGCAATGATTGAAATAGCATTAAAAACACCAAAAATGTGATTAATGCCAACTCCAGTTACAGAATAGTCCTTTATGGGTGCTTTTTTGGAATATCCTGCAAAATAGTGACTCTATATAAAGTAAGAAAAACGGATTAATTGTGAAGAAAATTCTCATGCTTGATGGTAATTGTGATTTAATTAATTAATTACCAATGTATATAGCACCAGCTGTGGTACAAGCACAGTAAGCAAGACATAGTACTAAGGAGATGAGGTTGATGTGCCTTAAGGAGTGGAAAGATGGCATTTGTGCCAATACAAGCATCAGGGCTCCAAAAATTACCACAAAGTGGTAGAGTTGTAAATTCCCATTTGGCTTGGAGAGCAAGTAAATAAACTGCAAACAAGACCAAAATGAATTATAAAAAACTGTTTCACATCAATGTTAAAAGAATCGATTTTACACCTAAAAACATAATACATGCTACATATATTCGTATTTTTCATTAAAAAATCTTAACAATTGCAATCAATTAGATTAAATTGAGATAAAATCATAAATTTAGAATCAAAATAGAGTCAATTAAATTATAAAGACTAAGATGGTTAAAAAAACCAAAATACAAACATAACTGACGTAATTTGCCCAAAAAATTCTATTTTGTTTTTGTATTTCAGCAACAACGAGGTGATTATATTTTTTTAGTATAATTTTGGAATCCAATGAAGTGATTACCAATAATCTATCAATTTAAATTTTTGTAAGAAATAATCTTCCTGATGAGGTTTACAAGTTAGGTGATTTGAATTACCAAGATCAACCAAACTCAAAAAAAATTGAATGGTCCAAACTGGTAACTAACTAACCTTGAGGCTCTGGCCTCCAAGAAGTATACAAGCAATAACTGCACCATAGCATATTCCCAATTGAAGTGGTCCCACAAAATACTTGCCCCATCCAGGTCCTGTCCAATTCAAACATTCAAAGTTTTGGAGAAACATACACTACTAAAGTTAAATATATGATTGGTATAAAAAATATAAATCTGTTTAGGTTTAACCAATTTAAAGGTGGCACATCCCATACATAAAAATATTTATGGATGCAACATAAAAATATTGGAGGAGGCTTCCCTCTATTGAATTAAAGGGTGTAGTTTAGTGTTTTGCGGGCTCATACGTATATATATATGATTCAAACATGTTACTAATATGTGATCAATTTGAGTTTTATATGGATAATTTATACAAGTACTAAACACTAGTATGTTTGGCAACAGGTCAATTTAGTAATTTTTTAGCTATTTGGTTAAGATATGAGCTAAAAAAAACTAGTATGTTTAGGATGACTCTTTGGCTTTTTACGAAAAAATGTGCAAAAAGTAGAGAGAAAAGAGAATCTTTGATTTTTTGGTATGGGTTGTTGGCTTTTTGGCTAATTTAGGCCTCGTTTGGCAAGAGGCTATTTTAGTCAGTTAACCAAAAAGTTAAATTAGCCAAAAAGCCAACAACCCATACCAAAAAGTCAAAGATTCTATTTTCTCTCTACTTTTTGCACATCTTTTCGTAATTAGCCAAAAAGTCATTCCAAACATACAAGTTTTTTTTACCTACATTTTTAGCCAAATAGCCAAAAAGTTACTAAATTAGCCTGTTCCCAAACGAGGCCTTAGTAACTTTTTGACTTTTTGACTAAAAATGAGAGTTTCCAAACGAGGCCTAAAATTTGAACGGTTTGAATTACTAAATTGAACCCTAAAAGTACAAATTGGATCTTCCAATTCAAATTAGAAAACTGAAAGGAAGTCTTCTTATGCAATGTCTCAAGCAACATACCTAAAATGTCATGGGCCATGTCCCGGAAACGTAACTGACGTTTCCCAAGCTGAGCGTGATGGTCCAGAACCAAAGAGAGAAGATTCTAAGAGTAGAAGGTGACAAGAGCTGCCATGGTCAAGCACAAAACTCCACCAACCCAACCCAACAACCCAAATGCAAAAGGAAGGCTCAGCAGTGCCGGCGCAACTATCGCTGTCGTCAAGTGGTAACCACAGTGCAACCACGACCCTACAGATGGAACATGGAATATTGTTGCTAGGTAAATTTACTTAGGTACCCACATTAAAAATATTCACTTAAAAATATGCATATTTGTAAGTGCATCTTAATTAAGGCCATATATGTGCATATATTTTCCTCAATTCGTTTATAAATTAACTTAAATAATAGGAAAATTTGTGGATAAGTCCATTTGTAGGAGGGTGTATGGCATTAGGTCTATGAATTGTTTTATTTTGATTATAAGAAATATAAATTATTGTTTTGAAAGATAATTCTTTTCATTTTTACCCATTGTCGCCGGTCGTCGAAAAATTGATTAGAAAAGTAATGGGACGTGGGTTGTGGTAATATAGACAGATAAATAGTTAGATGGATAAATAGGTGACACTAGATAAATAAGTGAATAGATAAATGTATATAGACAAATAAGTGACATTGGACAAATAAGTGAAATATTAAGCAAATAGACAAATAAGTAAAAGTAATATCATCTTTCAAATTATTGTTGCATAAAAAAAAATTCAAAATTGAATTTATAGCTTGCGTATCCTAAATAGTATGGATACAAATATATATAGATATTCAAAATATCAAAATATCAAAATCCTTTTACATAAATCTCATCATTTGATGAATTTGATATTCTCCATCTTCACAATCTTTTGCTCAGAAATTGGGTTAGACTCCCATTCATAATTACCATTATTATTTTTTTTTTTATCAGTAAAAAAAAGAGACTTATTAATGAAAACAACATATTTACATATGCAAAATACATCAATAAAAATGTATTAGAGCTTCCAATCCCAACTAGGTTAGCACAAAATAGCCTACATAATCATGTGTTAGCACTGGCCTCAAGTTGGTGAGAAACCAACAAGGATCAAAGAAAACACGAACTCCAAACCACTCCTACTACAGGACACACCACTCACCAGCCCAACCAGAACTCTATTGTGTTATGTTCCTTAGTCGCTGTGAATTGTCCACCAAATCTTGTATTGAGTACAAACACTCACTTGAATGAGCTTTAAACCATAAGGCAACCCTTATCTTTATCAGTTCACACAATTCCTCCATCATAGGTTGTTTTCCATTAAAAACACAGTCATTCCTCATCCTCCAAATGGACCAAAAAGTAGCCATTGGAATAGCATCCCAGACTTTGTTGTCAAATTTCCTCCATATGAAACATCTCCACCAGTCCAACAATAACATTATGAGGGGTTGCCATTGCAGACTCCACCAACTCAGTAGATTTGTCCAAATTTTCCAAATAACATGGTTTAAGGTTTCCATCTCACCATTACAGAACACACGATTAGACCTAGCATCATGACTTAAAATCCCAATTCTTTGGCTCCCATTCATACTCTAATCTAATCCTCTATACTTCTTCATAGTAATACTATCACTTTCAAAAGTCACATGTATTAAAGTAGATTCAAAGACTCCACAATTATTCACCTCAACTAAAAAGCATTCAAAGGACACATAAAAAAATTAGAAAATAAAAAATGCAGAGTTTCACTCCAATCCTTCCTCATCTTATCTTATTCTATACAAGTCAAACATACCTCGGGATTTAAGGACAAACAGAACTCCAGCATCGAGTTCTTTGGGCAGGTTGATGCCATTTTCTCCATATGTTTCCGGTACATTCCCAGAGTTCGGTGCCACACTCACCATCTCTCTCTCTTTCACTCTATTTTCTCTCTCACACACACAAAGAGTGATGAGTGTAAGATACTGGTTTGGTTTGGTTTAGTTTGGATGCAAAAGGAAAGGTTGAAATTAAGTAGGGTGGGGGATAGTATCCTCAGTAGCAAAGTCATCTACGGCATCCGTAGTCAAGTCAAACATACCTCGTTGTTCAACTGGGAGCTAAACATTTTCATATGCTGGGGTATATAACAAAGAAACCCATGTCAAGACAAAAAGCAAAAGCATTTTTTAATGTTTAGTTGAAAACTCTTTTGACTTCTATTGAGAAAATCAATGAAAAAATTTGAAAAATATTTATAAATTAGTGATAAATTTTATTAATATTAATAATTAAAGTCATAAATTTAAAATTATTTTTTTGAAAGTGCACCGAATTATAATTTTTTCAAAATAAATTATTCTGCTAACATTTTTTTATTTCTGTTTTTTAACATACTGATGTGAGAAATAATAATGTTTCAATTTTTAAAAAATTGAGTTTTTTGTTTTTCGTATTTTTTTTGTTTTTAATAAATTTTTTAAATATTTTAAGTATTTTTTTTACTTTTTATTAAATGCACCTAATCTAGATGTACTTAAAAAGTAAAATATTATAAAAATTAATAAATATACAAGAATACAAAAATGTATTGAATTTTTTTTTTTTGTATTTTTGATATTTATTAAAAATTGAAAGTTTTTTTTCACAGATATTATACTTTTTAAGTGTATTTAGAAGGTAAAAAATTTGCTTAAAATATTTTTTTTAAAAATCACTAAAAAGAAGGAAAACAAAAAATTCAATTTTCAGAAAATTGAATTCAAAAAATTGGAACTAAACAAGCTGTGATAAAATGTTGAAATGTGAAATGGTTTTTGATTTACTAATATAGGGGTGAGAAAAAATAGAAAATATCACAAATCAATTCGATTCATATTAAATCACGCAATTTGATTTGATTTTTTCGATGAATGATTGGATTCTTGATTTTATAGTTAGAGCTAATTACAAATAGTTTGGGCACTTACAAAATAATTGTACTATATATGAGAATTTTTTCTGGTGCAACATTGACACACATGAAGGACTTACATGAAGCACGTGAATAAACTCGCACCATGCACAGAGAAGACTTGCACCATCATAAAATGAATAAATAATTTGAAATCGAGCCAAACTATTTAAATATATATATACGTATATAATTTGTTACTTATTGTAAATACTCAAATATCTTATTAATATATGTATATATATATAAGTTGTAATCCTCTATTTGGATAGTGGTCGAGCTAATTTTAGACAATCATATAAACAATTCTTAAATTGTGAATTATATTTTGTGATTATGTTGCTAATGATAACAAGATTTTTAAAAATCGGAATTCCAAACTAAATCCAACAGCGTGTTATTAATAAAATCTAGTTTGATTCCAAGATTTTTATGATTTGATTTGGTCTTATATTTTATGGAACCATAATTAATGATTCAGTCATTGGTTTAGTCCTAAATTGAATCAATTCAGACCATGCTCACACCTAATATAATAGGTGCACATCAATTCAAAAAAAAAAATTTGTAAAATATATCTGTTTATATTACACTATTTATTGAGAAATGCTTCGAGCAAAATACATGTAATAAATGTGTAAATCCCATTTGAATAATGATATTCATGAAAAAATTTATATAAAATCCTTTACCAAATAATGTGTGTTGGTGTTGTTGAAATTAAAAGGCTTTGGGTGTGAAACATGACACATATGTCAAATTAATAGGGTTAATTATAAAATAAAAAAAATAAAAAAACTTAAGGTTTTGTGCATTTTTTATTTTAAATTTTAGTATTTCAATTTTGACAAATTAAAGTTTAGAGTTTCATCTGTGTTTTTATTTGGTCCCTCCGTCCATCTTTGTCCGTGTAAGATAACAGAGGGGGTTTAAAATGAAAAATATTGGGATTTAAAGTGAAAAACATGTGAAATCTTGAAGATTATTTTGTAATTAACCATTTTTTGTTTTTAGTTATTTTAATTTTTAAAAAATGGTTAATTACACACACACAAAAAAAAACTCCAACATTTTCACGCAATTTTTACTTTAAACCCTATTATTTTTCACTTTAAACCCCTTTCGTTACTTTACATAGATTGAGATAAACGGAGGAGGAGATAAATTGAAACATGGATATGGAACTTCAAGGTTTATTTTATCGAAATTGAAACATTAGAGTTTAAAGTGAAAAAAGCGTAAAACTTTGGGATTTTTTTTTTTTTAATTTTGTAATTAACCAAATAATATTTATACAAAAATATTTTAGGGTAAATTACAAATACACCCACTGAGATTTGATTAAAATACGAATCGCCCCCTGTGATTTTGAAAATTACAATCCACCCCCTGAACTTTCTAATTTCATAACAAATCGCCCATTTTATTAATCAATTATCAAGTCAATTAATAGTTTTTAATGATATTAAAAATATGTTTCAATTAATAATTTAGGTAATTTTATTATTGTATCGGAGAACAATTATGAATTTCATTTGTTTAGTTAATTCTGTTAAATAAAAAATTCTAATAAGAGGATATTTGTAATTTTTCAAATCACATGAGACAATCTGTATTTTAAGCAAATCTCAAGGAGTGCATTTATAATTTATTCAAAATTTTGTATAGAAACTTTTTCGAAATGATACGATATCAAGCCATTGTTTGGAAATTTTGATTTTTAATTAAAAAATCACTACAAGTTATCAAATTATTTTTTATATTTTTTACATATTTCATAAAAAATAACAAAAAAATCAATTCTCAAACACCACCGCTAAAAGTCATGTTTTTGGGTTGTAAGATCATGAGAAGATAGTCGACATTTTTATTTCTTTAATTTAAATTTTTTTTAAAAGAAAATAAACTGATTTAATTAATGATGTTACATTATGGATTACAAATGTTCTCATATTTTCTTATCTAAATGGCGTAATCAGAAGGCTTCTAGTTGCTCTTTATTATTATTATTTTGCTCTGCTGAATTCGACTATGTTAGATGAATATCTGTACTCCTAGGAAAATTTGACAACATACCAGCTAAAAACAAAAATAGAATAAAACATACCACAGGAATCAAAATTATTATTGTTATTATTATTTGAAAAAGTCCATAAGACGATTATAAGCTCAATATATATAGATAGATAGATAGATAATATAAACTTTATAAAAGCATGACTACAGCTTATCACAATCAGATGTTAAGATTTCTTGCATGCTGTTAGATTTATTAAAGCCCAATTATAAAAGGTTCCGTTTGGGAAGAAAAAAGTCAGGTTTTTTTGGTTAAAATAGCCACAAAAAATAAAATAGGCTATTTTAGCCACAAAAACAAAACATCAAATCCAACCAATAATCATTACAATCATCTCTCACAAAAAAAAACAAAAAAACCAAAAAATCAAAAAGTCCTTCCCAAACCAAGCTAAAATAGCCAAAAAGCCAACCCACTTCCCAACGGAGGCAAAGTGATATCATTAACACCTACCTTTTCACTTTGGCTCCCTCATTTCTTTGAATTCCCACCCAACAAAATGAGTCTCCTTCATTTTCTCTTTAAACCCCCGTCTTAATACTAACTATACTCCAAAACCCAAACCCAAACCCAAACCTAGCCCCCATTCCCAACCTCCACCTCTATTGTTGCCTTCGACAGCCAATTTGCAACCCACTCACCGGCGACTTCCTCCCCTCCCAATTTTTTTATTCTTGTTGTTGTTTTGTACACAACAGAATTAAATCTTTTTAAATACAGTGAAGATTGTCCAACACTTCTTTTTCTTCTTCTTCTACCATCGAGCCCTCTCCTATATCTGCCCTTAACCACCACTGCAAACCATAGAGAGATATCTAGATCTGACATAGCTGGCAACGACGATTGTATCAATGGTGGTGGCATTACAGATCACTACCCAAGTGCCCTCCAACAAATAGATTGCAACTTTTGATGACCAAATTGCAACTCCAACAACTTTCGCAATCAGATCATTTCTCTCTCTCTCTCTCTCTTTTATGGGGGAGTTCGATTTTAGGTTTTGATTTTGAGATGGGTTGCAATAGTGAAGGAGAGGCTGGGAGTGTTTATCGGTGGAGGTGGTGGAGGTAGGTTATGGTAGAAAAGATAGATTGTGGCAGTATAGGGTTGGGAGATGGGCTGCGTTGGTGGAGGAGAGGCCAAAGATGCTTGTCGGTGGAGTTAGTGGCTAGTCGGGACAGAAAAAGTGGGGGTTGAGGCAGTGAAGAGCTATGAAGGTGATGGTCAGAGATGGTGGTGACTGCTTGATAGGTGACAGACAATAACAGAGAGGGTGGGCTGTGGCGGCCGGAGGTGATGGAATGGCTAGGGTAAGCGTTTGGAAAATTAAGGTTAGAAGGTTATAGATGACGGTAAAAATGAAACTTCATGTTTGGACAAAATTGACATTAAAAAAAATAAAAGAGATCAGGGGTTCCAAAAATAAAAGTATGTGTTAATAGCAACACACTTTAGTAATCTTTCAAGCCTATCATGTAAATCTTTTATTAAAACATTAGTTTGATCTAAAATGATAATTATAATTATATGATTTTATTATAATTTTTTATATTATATTTTTAAAATTATACTTATAGTTTATTTGTTTGTTGATAAATCGATGGACTACGACTCTTGAATTAATCAATTTTTTATTTTTAAATTTATAAATAAACTATCCAAATAAATTTAGAAGATGAAAGGATTGGATTGTAAAAATAAATCAGGGTTAAAATGTAGGGCTGAGTAAGGAATTCGTAAAATTCGTAATCCGATTCAGTCCAGTCTAATCCAATCCGATAGGTTTGGATTGATTTTTTGAATATGTGGTTCAGTTCCAGATTAAAAAATTAAAAATTCGTAGTCCACGAATCGATTTCGAATTGAACCTCACGGTTTCGAAATGGAACCGATCCGAATCGTATACAAATAGCCTATATTTATATTATATACCCTCCCGCATAGTATCTTCTCTTATTTCATATAAAACCTAAACCCAAACCTAAACTCGCATAGTATCTTTTTTTATTGTTTTTGTTTGTTGGTTTTAGTTTTAATTTGTAATGGTCTAAATACTTATGGTGGAATTAGTTTT